TAAACACATATTTATCTCTGATTAATGATACCCATGTTGAAGCATTTGAGAGAAATAAAGTGTTTGAAATGACTCAAAAATTATGTTGATTGAGAAGGAAGCAGATGAGTGGACAGACTGATAAAGCAAGTATAATAAAATGTTAATGGTAAAATTAGGTGGTGAGTATACAGGAGCTCATTATAAAATTTTTTCAATTATGATGTGTATTTGAAAAAATTATAATAAATTATATAATAGATATATATTAATTATATGTTATAGATATATTTCATATATTATATTCCAATGTATTATAATATTTATAACAAAATGTTATATTATCATTTGGGGAAATTCAGTGTACACACTCTTAAGATTTATACATTTGATTGAATTTAAATTTTACGACAAAAGAAAAACTAAACAAATATTGAACTCTGGATAATGACAGGCACACAGAAGACTTTTAAAGTGTCTGCAATTTTTTTGAACTATGTCAACATTCAAAATGGATAGACGGATACATTAGTGCTCAAACAAGAACCACAAAATGTTAATGGTAGACTCTAGGTGGTGAGTATTTTTGTTTTTATTGTAAAATTCTTGTATTTTTGTTGAACATTTTCAAAATAAATTGTTGAGGAAAAAAAACTTAGTGAGGGTATAGGGCCTCTATTACTAAATGAAGGAAGAAAAAATAGATACTGTGACTGATTAACAGCCTGCCCCAGTGAATAATGTTTACTTACTGACTGGCCCATTCTCACCTATCCCACCTTCTCTGTGAGTTAAATTCTATCCTTAAAGAGTCATTCCTTTAATTTAAATTTTGACTCGCTGAAATTCAAATACAGTAGTTTGGTAATTTCTTATTGCCTGCCTTGGATTATTTTCCTCCAATGCCCTAGAACTTGGTCTTATTATTTTATCTCCCTAAGTGACCAGCAGTCACTATTAACATGCATGTGACTCCCAAGCACTGACTTCCCTTGCTACAGTTGCACATGCCCACATGATTCATAGATAGTTCCTCGGAACTATATCACTGCCACCTGAAAGCCAATATTCCTCTTTTTTTTCTTCCTTTTTGAGACAGGGTCTGGATCTGTTGCCCAGGCTGGAGTGCAGTGGTGCAATCGTAGCTCACTGCAGCCTCAAACCCCTGGGTTCAAGCAATCCTCCTGCTCCAGCCTCCTCAGTAGCCAGGACAACAGGTGTGTGCCACTACACCCGGCTAATTATTTTATTTTTTGTAGAGATGGGGTCTTGCTGTGATGCCCAGGCTGGTCTCCAACTCCTGACCTCAAATGATCCTCCCATCTTGGCCTCCCAAAGTGCTGGGATTACAGGTGTGATCAATGGTTTCCAGTCAAAGTCAATATTCTGAAAACCAAAACTTTCCTCCTCCCTAAACTCTGTCTGTTATTACTACCACTATTATTCCCAGGATACAGATTTACTTCATTCATTCATTCAATAGTTACTGCATTTTACTTTGAAATCTCTCTGCTAGAAGTAGATGAACAAAATGGATATAATCCTTGCTTTTTTTAGGGGCTTACAATTGATTACAATCTAGTTGCTTCTTCCCTCTTTTTTCCTTTCCATGTTTAATGAATAAATAGTAATCATGTTATTGCCTGAGAGAAAGAAGAGGGCTCCAGGGGTCATCAATTAATTATTGCCCAGGTTACACTGGGCTATCTGCCCATCACTCTTATGTGCTGGCTCTTCAGGCCCAGTGGTTTGGTACTTCTGCACCCTGCTTAGGGCATTCGAATCATTTCTGAGGCTGCCTGTGTTCCATTCTGCTATATATCTCAGTATGCCTGGGATGGTCCTGGTTTACACTTACTGTCCCAGCATAATTATTAATAGTGCTCCCTTTCACTGTCAAATATGTCCTGGTTTGGTCAATAAATTCTGTGACCACCCACTCCTACACTGCACACAAACATTTCTAATCTGAGCACTTACTACTTCTTCCTTCAAGCCAGCAGGCCAGTGGAGCCCCTCTGTTTCCAGAAACTAATTGATTCTGGGGGGTTAGGAAGCACTGCCCTTCTCTGTTCTTCTAAGAGGGATTGTTGGTCCTAGGGAACTTCCTTTGCCTTAGAGTTTGGACTTTTAAACATAAAAGCCATAAAGGGTTGCAGCCTCCTAGTTCCCTCACTCAGCCATATCCTCTGTCTTAGCCAGGGGAAGGAAAAGAACTTAAAGACCTGACTTATGATCTCAAAGTATCCAAGATTTAGAACCCAGTTATTCATATATATGCTTTATCTCTTCTAATCATTAAAAGGTCTTAAAGGACAAAAATTTTTCTATTCCCTTTATAAAAATCTATACTCTTCTCTTCCCTTTCCCATTGTAAAAACCAAGCAAGAAAAAAAAATTCACAAACTGGGCAGCCCTCAGAATTACAGATTTGGAGAGATTCGAGCTATGCGACGTGGTCAGAGCAAATTTATGGACAGAAAAGGGAAAGTGACATACAGAAAACGGAAGTGAGGTACAGAAACAGCCAGATTGACTACAGCTCAGCCTTTGCCTTATTTGAACACAGTTTGAACAGCTGGCCACCTGTGAGTGGACCCTATTCTCCTGCCTCAGGATTGGCTAAGACTCAGCTCTTGTTACAGAAGCATACTCCTAAACTAGGTTCATAGTTTGTCTACCTAAGTTAGGTTATGGTTTGTCCATAAGGACTCAAGAATGTGAGTACAGAGGCTTTTTCAGGCCAGATTTTAGTTTGATTTAACAAGGGTAAGTTCATTAAATGCTTGTTGAAGTTACAAATATCAGCTATTTGCACCTCACTGTGCTTGAGTTACAGTTCCTTTTCTAAGTACTGTACAGGTCTAGACAAAAAGAAAGCAGCTAGGCATCAAAGAAATTAAAAAGACCTAGATGAGAGAATGTACAGCTCCACAGGGCAGCAAAAATAAACTTTACTTGGTTTACATTTGCCCACCTCTTTGCTTTCACACTGATTATAATTCTGTACAGGGACATTAGAACCAAGTTTTCCCCTTTTTGTTCACTCTCTGCCTCTCTGCATCATGAACAATAGTACCGGAGATACTTGCTTCTGAATTGAGACAGGCAGTTGGGCCAAAACCTGTTGAACCTCAGTGAATATAAAACATGAGTGGGAGATAAGAGAAAGAAAGAAGTCAAATTATCCTAATTTGCTGATGATATAATTTTATATTTGGAAAAAACCTAAAGACTCCACAGAAAAACTATTAGAGCTGATAAATTCAGTCAAGCTGCAGGATACAAAATCTACAAAAATCAGGAGCATTTCAATATGTCAACACTGATCAATCTGAAAAAGAGATCAAGAAAGTAATCTCACAATACGTACACCTAAAATAAAATACTTAGGTATTTCAAAAAACTGAAAGAACTCTATGACAAAAACTATAAAACATTGATGCAAGAAACTGAAGAGGACACAAAAAAATTGAAAGATATTCCATGTTCATGGACTAGATCAATATTGTTAAAATGTCCATACTACCCAAAGCACTGTACACTCACTGCAATCTCTATCAAAATACCATTCTTCATAGAAATAGAAAAAAAAATTTCTAAAATTTATGTGCAACCACAAAAGATCCAAAAGAGCCAAAGCCATCCTGAACTAAAAGAATGAAACCGGAGGAACATTACCTGACTTCAAATTATGCTACATTGCTATCGTAACCAAAACAGCATGGTACTGGCATGAAAACTGACCAATAGACCAACGGAACAGAATGGAGAACCCAGAAATAAATTCATACATCTACAGTGAACTCATTTTCAACAAAGGTGCCTAGAACATACATTGAGGAAAGGACAGTCTCTTCAGTAAATGGTGCTGGGGAAACTGAACATCCATATGCAGAAGAATGAAACTAGACCTCCATCTCACTATATACAAAAATCAAATCAAAATGGATTAATGACTTAAATCTAAGACCTCGAACTATGAAACTGCTACAAGAAAACAATGGAAAAACACTCCAGGACACTGGACCGGCAAAGACGTCTTGAGTAACACGCCTCAAGCACGGGCAACCAAAACATTGGCAGGACTTTTAGGGTGCACTACTCTCAACACCTGAGAAGCAAAACTGTGAAAATAAAAAGCAAAAATTCCCTCCTACCCAGCCCTCCTGGGGCACCTAGTCATTCGGCAACTTCTGAGGCAATTTATGCCTCATACTATGATTTTAAAACATTGGTTTTGTAGCCAGGCAGAGTACATTCAGACCCAGATTCACTATCATCCCATGCCTTAGTTGGCTAATCTGTAAAATGGGGCTAATCTCTCTCGAGGCTACGCTGAGGATCAGATGTCTGCCAAATGTTAAGTATTTACATGGTGCAAAAGTAATTGTGGTTTTTGTCCTTTTTTCATTGCAGAAACGGCAATTACTTTTGCACCAACCTTATCTATCTTAAGCACCTGGTGCTGTCATAGTTGCCAAGAGTTATCCCAGGTGGGAGTGATACAGCAGTGAACAAACAGGCACGGCTGGCCCGTGCCCTCCTCCAAGTGCACACAGTCTTCCAAAAATTACAGCAGTAACAAGCATTAGACAAAGCATTGTAATAACACTGACAAACTCCTCCGGTCGGGACCGCCCTGTGACTATGTCTGGAATATGTCTAAATTGGCGCCCACCACTGTTTTATAAGTCTCTTCAAAGCCCGTCTGCTCCCAGGCCTTGAACCCCTGGGCACAGAGACCAGCCGCGGCTCCCTACCTTGAGGCGCTCGCGCCTGCACTGTGCCTGGCCCTCAGCAGGCCCTCCCGCCTGTCCTTGCTGACAACAGGGAGATGGCTGTTGGCGGCTCTGACAGATCCAGCGAGTGTCGGACCTCAGCGCCTGGAGGGAACGGTCGGTCTCGCTCCTTTCCGCCCAGCCTCAGTCTCCCCGCCTCCCCCCCGCCCCCGAACCCCTCTCTCCCTCAGTAGCCTACCGCCTGTCCCAGCCTCGACCCCATCCATTCTCTCCACTTACTCTCTGGGTCCGAAACGTGAAAAGGCCAGCAGCTCAGCACGGTCTCTGACCTCTGCCCCTCTCGACCTCACCCTCCTTGCTGGCTGCGCCCACAAGCAATCCCAGGCCCCCCGCGCCCGCCCACACTGGCTTCCCGAGACACCCCCCGCTGCGATTCCCGCGCCAGACTTGGCAGCTCCCCAGGGTGTTCGCATTGGCGCCAAGGGGAAACATTCGTTGTTAATTACGTTGCCTCCTAATGACCAGCGTCTGCCGGCCGGCTCCACTCTGAGGAGCGGGGGAAAGAGTCTGGAATCGCAGCATTTCTGACCCTGAGCGCTGGAAGGATCGAGCTCCAATAGGAGGCCCAGGGCTGAGAAAACGCACGACCCTGGGGGTCCGCCCACCTCTACAGGGAACCCCCACATTCCACAGATCGCTGTGAAACAGAAAATAAAAAGTGTTCCTTCTGAAGTCCAAGGGCGTCCCTACAAGATATATTCCGTCCTCTTCCCTTTGGCTTCTTGGTGAGGGCGACCCTCCCTGCTGAGAACACTTCTCTCCAGCTCACCACGGAGGATGCTGTGTAAGCAAAGAAAGGTCCTTTTTCGCTTGTGTGAGTTTGCTAACAGTGCCCGCAAGTCCTCTGGTGAAAGACGCCTGGGCCACTTCCTTTTGCAGCCGTAAATGTACTAAATGAAGACATGCCAAATAGCTACAAAAAGTTGTAGTTGTGCTGTATTTTAAAGGTCTGCCTTGATTACCAGTTTCTTTACACGCATGCAACTGTAATGACCGCCTGCATGTATAAGCTCATCTGGAGATAAGGCCCAAAGGCCAAATGCGAGGCCCTTGATCCAATGGCTGTTCTGCTCCTCTCTCCCCCGGCTGAGACGAGCTCTGTGCCTGCAAATGCCCAGGGAGGGGAGGGGAGGAGAACTAAGCCTGCAGCAGAGATAGCGGGGTTTAAAAAAGTAAGTGGACTTGAGAACTGCGTTCATACTGGGTTCCGGTTAGGATACTTCACCTTCTTCTTGCCTCATTACCCATCTGTAAGCTGAGGAATGTTGAAAGAGTCTTTGTTCTTCAAGAAAGATAAAAACAGTTCCAAGGACAAAGGAGGCCATGGGCCGGGAAGCGGGAATGCATTGCTTAGATCACCCTGAAGATGTTTCTTTCCTCCTTCTTGCCTCCCTCCTCTCCTCCCTGAGATGGAATCAAAATGCTTTAGCAGGCAGTTAGCAAAGAACATGAATCATCCCAACCAAGTAGAGAGTTTTTCTTGTGTTTGATATTTATTAAAATTTTGGAATTCCACACTTCACTTTCCCAATCGCTTCCTTTCATGCATAAACAGCAAAAAGGATACATAAACTTGTCAGGCTGCAAAAGCCCTCATTCTGTTTTCTCCCTAAGTGGGCTGCGGGAGGAGGCATGTGTAGATCATGCATTACAAAGAGCTTTGCACTACCTAAAACCAAAGTAATTAGGCAGTGCAAGTCACAAATAGTTTTGAAATGTTATTAATAAGATGACACTTTTTTGCAATACCACTGATTTGATAATGAAAACAAAAATAATAATAAAGTGACACTTCTTTTAGATTTCTGAGAAATGCATTCCTGCCTTAATATCATTGCTCCTGCTCTCCACACTTGCTACTAGAAAAGAAAGGCCTTCTTTCTCAGTCTGTCTTTGCACCATCACCTGGACACCCTCCGAGAAGAGTCACAGGCAGAGGAAATTATCGTGATTGCGCATTGTTTAGTCTCTCCACTTCAGCTGCGCGAACTGCTTCCTGGGCAACCCAGCTGCCTGCCATTTAACCCGCCTGGATGGATGAGCTCATTAAAGAGCCACCCCACAGGCTTTCTCCATTGGCTCTTCTCCAGATCCTAGTTCTCTTTCTTCACCCAGCGGTCATTGGTTCACCGGCCTGCCTTGTGTGGTGAAGCAAGTCCTTACCCCGCTCTCACTGTGCTCCTCCCCCCTCCTAGAGGAGACCTTAGAAAGGGTGGCAGGAGCAGTCATTCCAAGCATCCAGCAAGCCTACACTTTGACAAAGGCCACCCTTTTTCCAGGACGCCACAAACTCCTCAATGCCCTCCTCCCGGGTTCCTCAGGAGGGAGGGGAATCAAGTCAGCAATTCTTTCTTCCTCCTTTCTTCTCCAAAAGGCTGCTTCCCAGTCGTGGGTCAGTGCCAGCCTAGTAGGGAACCCATTCCTCTTATTGTTTTCCCCCTATAGAGCAGCAGAGTGGCCCCAGATGGTAGGAAACACTCCTAGGAGTCACTGAGGGCTCCCAGAGCTGCCAGTTGGGGGTTGGGGGTGAGAGATGGGAAGACTTGGGTTTTAATGTTTATGTAAGAAACAGCAATTCAGGTTCTCCCTTGCCCATGTGTCCTGTGGTGAATGTGTCTCTAGGGAAAAGCTTGGGATTTGCTTTCCAGTTAAAAAATGTATCAAGATCCTGGCTTTTTGTGCCTTGGCTTCCTGCTTTCTAAGAAGGGCAAAAGTGATAGATACTCAGGAATCACTGTGGCGGCCTCTCTACTTTCATGTATGTTATATTTCCATAATAAAAATAAAATATAAGTAAGATACTCTTGAATCTGTATTTACTCTAAATAACTAGCATTAAGAATAGAATGTTCTGGGCTGGGTGTGGTGGCTCATGCCTATAACCCCAGCACTTTGATTCAAGATGAGATTTGGGCGGGAACACAGCCAAACCATATCAGACACCATGCTAAGAAGTTGAAGCTTTACCTTTTAGGCCAGTAAGTCTGTGGTGGAGCCCAGGAATCTGCATTTGTCAAGTTCTTTGGGTGATCTTGAGGCAGGTATTCTGCAGATCTCACTGTACTGTTCAGAGGGACTCTGCGATAGGTAAATTAAATTTATAGAAAGTGATAGAAGACACATTTTTATAAAATGGTAGGCATGGTATTAAGTGTGAAACACCAAAGAAACATAAAACTTGAACCCAGTCCTCAACACATAATTAAAGTAGGCTGATAAGATTTACCGCAACCACTAGGTATGGTTGTGTAGGCTGTGCACTGCACCACAATGCCATGTCTAAGAAGGTACAGTTCACATTTTAGACACAGATTTGTGTATTTGCTACAATTTTTGGCAGATAAGTCCAATGTCTTATTCTAATAAAAAGTATACTACAGCAATTTTTCCAAGATAGAAATAAAGTGTCTTCAGGAAGGTAATGGTAGATTGTTGTATTAATGGCTCCAATGGATCACATTTCCTGGTATCCACACCCTTCTTTGGTCATCTGCCAAATTAACTCTGAGCCATGGGAAATCAGCAAATGTGACACAGGCAGACTTTGCAAAATTCCCAATGATCAAAGCCAAGTTCTCTGATTTTTATGGACTTTCCCTGGTCAAAAGATGGCTGCTTCTGATCCAAACAGCTATAGGCATCACATCTCCATTCAAAGTAGGAAGAAAAGGAGCAGGGTAGGCAATCAGAACATCTTTTTTTTTTCTTTTCTTTTTTTAGAGACAGAGTTTTACTCTGTCACCCAGGCTGAAGTGCAGCAAAGCAATCATAGCTCGCTGCAATTTCAGACTCCTGGGCTTTAGTGATCCTCCTGTCTCAGCCTCCCAAGTAGCTGAATGTATAGGTCTGTGCCACTGCACCTGGCTTTTATATATATATATATATATAAAGATGGAGATCTCACTATGTTGCCCAAGCTGGTCTCAAACTCCTGGCCTCAAGTGGTCCTCCTCCTCCTGCCTCCCAAAGCACTGGGATTACTGGTGTGAGCTACCATGCCTGGCCCCAGAGTTGCTTTTATTAGCAAAGCAAAATTTTTTCCAGCAACATTCCAGCAGACTTGCATTGATATCTCATTGATCTTTGTCATTTGGCCATAGCTAATTGCAAGGGAGTCTGAAAAATGGAATATTTACCTTTTCCAAGCCTCTGTAGTGAAACAGGACAAGGGAATAGGAGTTTAGGAAAGTATGTTGAGTTAACTAAATAGCAGTGCCTGCTGTGGAACTTTTAATCATGGGTCCCATAGCCATTCTCCTATTAATACCACTGTGAGGTTAGGCCATTCTTAAATTACTAGAAAGAAATACCTGAGGCTGGGTAAGTTATAAAGAAAGGAGGTTTAATTGGCTCAGTTTCTGTAGCTGTGCAATCTTGGTACCAGCATCTGCTCAGCTTCAGGGGAGGCCTCAGGGAGCACTTACTTATGGGAGAAGGTGAAGCAAGAGAGTGGGAGTGAGATGGGGGGAGGTGCCGCACACACATAAATAACCAGATCTCCTGAGAACTCACTCTTGCAAAGACAAGCCATGCGGCATCTACCTTCATGACCCAAACACCTCCCGTCAGGCCCCACATCTAACACTGGGGGTTGCAGTTCAACCCGAGATTTGGGGGGATAAATATCCAAACTGTATCAACCACAAATGTATACAACACGGAGACTGGAAGCAACTAGCCAATTTTCAAATCTTATAATTCAAAGGGAAGAAATTATCTCCAAGCCATTGATTTATTCAACAAATATTTACTGAGGATAATTCTACAAGTTAGGCATTCAGCTAGGTTTTGAAATACCAACCATCCTGAGACTCAGGAATGGACCTACTGTTCTGCAGGACCAAGAGTTCAGCCTCCCTATAGGCCTGGAGAAAAGGGATAAAGATTGCCAACAGCCTCTCATTTTACTGTAACTTCCATTGTCATCTTTTCTACTTTCTTTTTTTTTTTTTTTAAGACAGAGTCTTGCCCTGTCGCCCAGGCTGGGGTGCAGTGCAACCTCCGCCCCTGGGTTCAAGCGATTCTCATGCCTCAGCTTCCCGAGTAGCTGGGATTATAGGCATGTGGCACTGTGCCCAGCTAATTTTTGTATTTTTAGTAGAGATGGGGTTTTGCCATGTTGGCCAGGGTGGTCTTCAACTCCTGACCTCAAGTGATCCACCCACCTCCCAAAGTGCTGGGATTACAGGCGTGAGCCCCTGTGCCTGGCCTTCATTTATTTCCTCTTTTTACTTCCATTTCCATTCCCATTTTCCTTGTATCAGTTAGTTTTTGCTGCAATAATTAACCATCCTGAAACTTTGTAGCTTGAAACAACAATCATGTATTATTACTCACAAGTCTGCAGATCAAGTGGCTGATTCTTCTGATCCGGGCCAGGACTGGCTGATCCCAGCTGGGCTTGCTCATGTGTTTGCAATTCACCAGCAGGTCAGCTGATGGTACTTGGCCTAGGATGGCCTCACTCACATGCCTGGTGGTTGGTGCTGGCAGTCAGCTAGGGCAGTGGAGTAACAGGGCCATGTGTCACTCATTATCAAGCAGGCTTGCTGAGGCTTATAAACAAGGTGATGGTTACAGGATTCTCAAGAGTAGGAAAAGTGGGCAAGCCCTAACGTTCTAGGACTTTTCAAGTTTCCGCTTGTGTCACATTTGCTACCTGTTCCGTTGACCAAAGTAAGTTACAAGGTTGGCCCAGATTCCAGAGATGGAGAAATAAAGTCCATTTTATGACAGGTGGAGCTGCAATCTCACTGCAAGAGCAAGAGAGCAGGGAAGGGAAGAATTTGTGCTGGTTTTGTTAACTCCCAAACTTCTTTTCTTCCGCTACATAGGACACCAAACATTTGTTAAGCTGGTTA